TTTGTTATGATACCTCCTCCAGAATGATCCAGAGACCATCATTAGCTCAGTGCAGAAGAAAGGAATGTTTACTGCACCTTTTTCTTCTACCTGCATTCTTTCTGGGGTTTCTGGTGAATGGAGGAGAAGTTTACCTTGGAAATATTTGGAATTGTGTTTTGGATATTTAAAAGATGGAATGAAAAGGCTTCCCAAATAGGCACTGGGTAAGAGACATAAAACAGTGGAACCAGGAATCACTTTCTGGGCTGTAACAATGGAAATGCGATCTTTAGTTAACAGGGACTCAGAATTTAGAGCGGGTGAGCGTGGACGGAGGTCAGTGATTCACGCCTTGAGATCGACCTCTGCCTCTGACCTAGATCCCTTCTGTGTACCGACTGCACTTGTTGGCAGCTTTACCTTCTGCAGTATTTTTGTGGCTCCTCTGCGGAGCCTCGGACCTGCAGTGAGAGGGTCAGGGGGGCTTCGCTTGCTGTCAGATCATCTTCCAGGAGGAAGACACCCCACTTCTCCTCATCTGCTCTCCCCTGGGTTGGCTGAAGACAAGAAGTATCTCTGGGCTCTCCATCAGCTACATCGCTAATGGCACAGACTGTATCATTTGGGAGGCCCCTGGAGAAGGGGCGGGCAGGGAGGAGGAGGACAAGGAAGACAGAGGCTGGGAACTGGAAGACAATTTAAAATAAGCAATCAGGGACTGGAAGAGAATATGCCAGCTATAAAATAAGTACAGGAATAAAAGAGATAGATGGGAAGTCAATTCCTAGGTCTCTGTCTTCTAGGTCTTTTTATTTTCTGCTCTTGGTCGGCAACCTTTGGTTTCCAAATACTCATCTTCTTTGTACTTTTCCATTAAAATATTGATTCAACTGCTGCTGATGCTCTCAAGAACTGCAGGGCTATAGAAAGGCAGGCCCACTCCTCTGGCAAGAGACACCCATCTGCAGACGTAAATGCACCCAAACACGTGGGTAGCAGCACACAGGCACATAGAGGCGTACACACCAGAGACTGCTATAAACGTAGGCGGTGTGGCAAATGTCACCTGTTCATCTTTAGCTGAATCCAAGATTCAAATCCTTGGGACAGGAATGGATGCAAGTGATAAGAAAAGCAGGTTGAAAGAAATCAAATGCAAACTATGGACGAACATACTTCCTACCGCAGAATGCCTCCACATTGTGACTCCAGCTCAAGTAGAAGCCAGGAGGTTTCTTGATTTATTATTTCAATCTGCTTTGTCTTTGATTGAAGAGATACTTAGGTAGCATCTCTCTGCCTGCCAGATACCACAGTGTTGCCCCATGAATATGATAGCAGCATTGCCCTCAAGAATTAGAATAGAAATGGAACATAAGATGGTATCACACTTAGGTACAGCCCAAGTTATCACACCCTGGTTCAAATAGACTTCTTAATTCCAAAGAAGAGTATTGGAATTGACACCTACGTTTCTTTCAAGTAGCTCCAGTCAATGCAGCTGGGCCTCCCAGTGGATGGGACAGTCCAGGTTGCAGGTAACACTTTTTTCCTCACCTATGGATAGTGGAATCTGTGAGTTGGATTTTTTGTGAAGACAAAGGGAGCTTCTTTATCAATGGGATTGCCAGTACTGCAGTTCCAGCATTTTTAGCCCTAGAATAAATTTGCCTGACACTAAAGGCAACTAAGACCTACAAAGGGTCAGATGCAACCAAGGATGCACAGCTCGTTATTTGAAAAGACTGGAAGTAAAATTCAGGGTTGCACATTTTTCTATTTTCCATGTCTTCCTGTCACAGACATCATGCTACATTCATGTCTAAGAACCAAGTAAAACAAGGATCTTCCCTGCGTTAGACTTATGTACCTGAAGATGTGTCCTAATTTATGTGCAGAGATGGAAGAAGATTCCATTGAGATGAAACATGCAAATCCTGTATAGCAAAATGCCTGCTACCTAACAGTCCAAAGGACATGAATGCCCATCCTGATCTCCATCATCCTCATGTTTCCATCATCATTGTGTCTTGCTTTTAAAGGAAATTCAACCTAGGCAAGCCTCTACTTCAAAAACTGGTAAAACTCCCTTCTCAAAAACAATTCTTCACTTTCCAAGGGTATCTTCAGTGGTATTCAGTTAAAGTTTGATCTGCCCTCCAAAAAATTTATGCAAATGGATATTATTATGTGAAAGAAGATCTATTTAACTCTCGAGTATGTAGTCACATCACATAAGCAACGTGAACTAGATTTTCACTTATACTGTCTACATGACAGTGATAATAAAAGATGGCCATAAAGTCTGGAAATATATTATTAGTTGTTTTTAAGACTGAAGATGTTCTTGACCACATTATTTATATTTGCCTATGTTTCCAGACTAGATGGACATCCTGTAACATAATAAACATCATAAACATAATAAACAAGAATAAATTGCTTGCCATTTTGGAGGAATTCTTAATGTTTTGCATACTTGGTTTAAAAAAAAAACATATTTTATGATGGAATCTCTGTGTTTATAAACAAAACCCCAAAAATTTACAGGGAAAGAAATCATTTTGACCTTCTTTCTCAATATTGGTTCCATAAGCCATGACCAAATTATGGCAAATCCTGACTTGAAGGATGACTGAATCATTTTGTTTGAGTTAGTTTAATATGTTCAGAACTGGGCAAGGTTTTTTGTTTTCCCTAAATTTTATCCTCCGAAGTTTTAAAACTTAATCATTAGGGCTAATTTTTGTTAGGCATCTCTGAGCTCTCCAATGTGGAAAATTTTGTTCTGTGGCAGTTTTCTTTTGGTCTTATTCCTCAGGTACAAACTGAAAGTGAAAACAATTTAATTAAAAAAAACACACACATTTTTTTTAAATCTAAAAAGTACCCAACAGATTTGATCCTTAAAATGATCAGAGGGTTATCTGTAGGTATTAAGCCAAATGGAAATAGGAGACGGTTTCTTAGTTTTCTGTGCCCAAATTAAACTGGTTTTCAGGTTCTGCAATGACAAAATCATAGCCCGGGTGACCATCTGCCTGGTCAATGAGTGGCCAGCGCTGGCCTGAGTCAGCTAATTGTGCGTAATTGGGATTATGTAGCAGAGATGACACTCCCCTCTTCAAACAAAGAAAATCACATTTGTGCTGTTTCATGTGACCGCTGATCTTTCCTGGCCAACAAAAGCAGAAACTTGGGTCGTCATAAAGTCTGTGTCTGAGAATGGCCAAGATGGTAGGAGGGATCAATTCTGGGATAAGCATGAGACAATAGGCAGTCGGGGAGAGAGAAAAGGAGAAAGAGACAAAGAAATCAGGGGGAAAACCTCTAGTGCTGGAAAATTTAGTGTCACTCAGCTTTTAGATTCTGCAATATAGGCACATTCAGTGTCTAATTCTGTACTTACACTGTAGAGTCTGGAGCGTTACCCAGTAGCTTCAGAGGGTCAGTGTGTGGTGGGGTACCTGATGGAGGGAGAGGTTTGTATATGCAGTAGGGGTGAGGGGTAATAAGGGTGCGCATGGAAGGGGGGTTATGGAGAGCAGAGGTTATGCCACTGATTTTAAGACTGAGGATTTATTTCTTCAAGCCCTTCCTGTGAGTCAGGCACCTCAAAGGCCAGGCAGGAGCATAGGTAGACAACTCATAGCAAACAAGTGACTTGTTGGTATGTTGGAAGTATTCAGAAGGGCTTGTCCTCAAGAGGCCCCAGAGCAAAGATTCAGAGCTGTAGCAGCAGCAATGGACCAGGGACAATGGTTGTCAGTGGTTATCAGTCAGAGAGCCCTGGTACCCAGCCACGACATCAAGAGAGGGAGGGGCATGGAGCCTCACACTGCTCATCCCCTTTCTCCTACAGAGCTTGGGTCCTTTGGATGTCCAAGGCTCTGTAGTTGAAACAGGGCCAGCAGCCTGTCAGTTCTGGCCAGAAAGACACCCTTGGTGCAGCGTTAGCTCAGGATTTCTCAATCTTGGCACCACTATCATCTGGGATTGGAGAGTCCTCAGGACAGCAAGGCTGTCCTGTGTATTGTAGGCTATTTGGCAGCATCCCTGGTACCTACCTTCTAAACGCCAGTACCTTCTTCTCCCTCTCAACCCCTGCCCCTATATGACAACCAAAAATGTCTCCAGACACGGTGGAATATCCCCTGTGGGGGGCAAGATCATTCCAGGATGAGAACCACTGTTTGGGGACCTCGTATACTAGTCGTTGATGCCTCCCCACATTTAGATTCTCTGGGGACTCCTGTCTGCTTTGTGTGGGCATCTGTTCAGGTGTGAGGGTTTGCCTGTGTGTGTACACACAGCCCCACACGGCTGCCTGTGCTTACTGAGAATCCTTGGGCACTGCCCAGCTCTTCTTGTGTTGATGGTCAGTCCACACTCCAAATGCAGAGTGCAAGTTCCACAGGTACAGCTGCAAGACACAGAGGCTGACCAACTCAAGACCTTCAGGAAACTTCTGGAGCTGTTACATGAGCCTGTGGTTCCCCAGCAAACCCCAAAGAGCAGCCCACTCACAGATCCCCCTACTCACCAATCACCTACTAGGTGAGAGGTCCTGTGCTCTGGGGCCAGACCCCTCAAGGGGCTTACATTCCAGAAGCGGGGCGGGCAGCATGGAACGGCATGGATCAGATGATTTCAGGGGGCCTGGACTTTCTCTGGGTCACATTCTCCCAGAAATTAGGAGGATCCAATTCAGCCCCCCACCCCCTCCATCGCTCTCAAACCGGGAGGAGCCTTGGCAATGTGTTCCCATGTTTTTATTAAATTTGCAAGAGTGAGATAGATTTTCTTCACGACCACCCTGCCAAACTGCATAAACTTCAGGCCCCACAAAACCTGGATCTATCCTGACTTGTGACTGCCTGTACATTACAGAATCAGATTCTCTTTCAAAACGTATCAGGAGGGAGAAGAAAAACGTATGGGTTTTAATTCACTGACAGCATGGAGAAGGAAAACAACACCCATTCCAACCACAAAGTCATGAGAAAACAAACTGGAGTTCATCCACTGGGTGGGTGCTGGTTTCGGAGACCGGAGTCCTCACAGAGGAACTTGTAGAAGCCGTGATCTCCAGAAGGCTGGGGCGGGAAGCCGCAGTTTCTGGCCAGGAGGGGCTGAGCAGCTGGCCGAAGCCGGCCTGATAGAAGCCGGCCGCGTTGCTCCGGGCGGGAGGCTGGGCTCGGAGCGGAGCCGTGGGCCTGCCGCCTGCCCCCGGCGCTCTCCGGGCCATTGTGCGCCCCGTATTGATCCAACGAGGAAGCAATAGGGCTTCGGCAGCTGAAGCTCTGGGGTGGGCGGCATTGATCTGGCTCCCCTCCCCAGGTTATTTATAGGATGCGCCGGCCTGGCGAGTAACCAGGGAGAGTTTGTTGAACGAGGGGTTCAGAGCGCTCTTCGCTAGTTGGTTAACTTTAACTATTGGAAATGGAATTGATGCGCACATAATAATATTATGATTCATACAAACCACTTCTCGGGCAACTCAATATATTTCATTACCTCCTTTCTAGCAAATGTATTGATTTCTGTTTTGCGGTTTTATAACACAATTTCAAGGCTGTTGTGGGCTTAATGAGCCGTGTTCTTATGATGTTTAAAAAGATTTGAAGCTATTGTTGAAATAAATATTATGGATCACCCCCTCCCGAGGCCCCCTCCCTCGCGCTCCCGGCTCCCATCTCCCTGCTCGCCGCCCCCTCAACGCCCCCCGCCCCAGCCCCTCCCCGGCCCGGGAGGAGCCGCAGGCAGAAAGCAGGGGGCTGCAGCTCCGCGGCCCTTTGTGGCCCAGATCAAAGGACCCAAGCGCCACAAAGGCGGCCCACTCGGGCCGCGCGGCCACACACAGCCGCACCTGCAGCGCGACCAAATGTCATTGTCGCTTCTGCGGGGCGAGCGCGGGGGACGCACCTCGGAGGCGGCAGATGACTCTAATAACGCTTGATGGGAATTGATGGGGAGGGAGCCGCGCGGTGCCCAGGGCTTTTTATTAGCTGCCCCGACTTCCCGAGACGGAACCCGAGCGCCTGCACCTGTGGACCCCTTCCTCTCAGCCTTTATGGAAGTTGACAGATTTTATTAACTTTAAGGAAGAACTTTCCAGCGTGCGGAGGGCCGCGGTTTATTTTGTATTCATTCGAAACGGAAACCGAAAAAGCCATGTTTACATATTTACCGGCCCCAGTGACCTCCCTCTGGGGCTCCGTAAGTCACGCTCCAGATTAATTTTGTCATAAAATTGACTAGTGTGCTCAGGGATCTTGGGAGTTTGGGGCTGTCGTTGGAGGTGCGAATTTTTTTTTTTTCAATGGGAGAAAGCTATATTCAATTATCTAATATCTCAGAGGAACCCCCAAAGACTTTCCAAATCGTGCAGAAATTGGAATTCTTTTACCAGGCGTTTGCTCCTGGGCAGATTACATTTGCCAGCCACCCAAAGAGTCTTCCCTCTCCGCGAGGTTTCCCAAATCTTCTGGATAAACTAGAAACAAAGGCAAGGACCGGAAGCGTCCTCAAACTTTGTGGACATGACTTTCCTTGGAGGTTTTGGGGTGGGGGTGGGGGCTTCATTGCCTTGCTGTGCTCAAATCTGGGAGGCAACATCCCAATACATTGGAAAGAAGAAAAAAAATCGGTTTTAATAAAATGATCTGCTTGGTGGGGAAAATAGGGTTACATAATTTGAAAGTGGATTTCTATAACTTCTAGACTCAGAATTATCCCAAACGGGGACAAAGAACTATGATTTTGTTTATGTTCTTAATTGTCCCTTGCTCTTGGGATATTTTGAGGTTTTGTGTCTCATGACAAATGGAAATTCACAACTATGAAAATTCATGTTCTATGAATGGCCAACTGTGAAGATTCAGCCACAGAGTCACCAAGGTGTATTGCTTATTAACTTAAAAGCATACAGCTTTCTGAAGCTTCCTTTTGCGTGCCAAATAGACTTCAAATGAAGCGAGGATCATTTTGCAGGAAACTCTTAAGACAAGCCGTAATAGAAAGTAGTTAGTAAATATTCCACTTTTCACTGGGGCAAACAGATGGAATGCCTGCTTTTCGATTTAATCAGGGGTTGACAGACAGGTAGGACGCAGGCATATTTGAGTTGGAGTCTCTTTTCTTTTCAGAAAAGAATGAAACCACTTAATATTCAGTATACCCGTCCCTCTCCTCCAGCCCTGCCCAACTCTTCCACCCACCATGCCTCATGACCTGGAGCTGCCTAATTTTTTCTCTTTTCTGATAACATTACCAAGTACATAGGTCATCTGACTGCAAGTGAATCTATGTCTAAGCACATCTTTTACTCTGTTCTTTCTTTGCCAAAAAAAAAAGTTATGGACGTGGGTGTGGGTGTACATATATAGGGTTAAAAAAGTCAAGTTTCCTTAAATCCCCGAGAACACACCCGAATCTCCATTTACATAGACAAGACGTAAATAAATGATTGAACAATTTGGGAGTCATGAGTCTCTGACCTCATGCTTTCTCAACTAACCTTTTGAAAAGATTTTGATATCAATTGTTTCTCTTTTTTCCCCAGAAGCATAATACATGGTAACCTTAGCACACACAATCTGTTTCCACAGAGGCATACAGACAAGCAGAGCCAATGGTGAATTGTAATATCGTGGCAGAGCTTGTATTACCTTGCTGGAAACAAAATCTTCCCCCCTCTTCAAATGCAAGTCCCTTGACACCCCCATCGGAGATCGCTTGTTATGCAGAGTTTTGTGAGGCAATCAAAATTAATTCATAGTGATCTTTTCACCCAGAACCTCCAGCTTCTAATAATGGTCTTTCTCAACAGGTGTTCATTGTGGTAGTCTGACTTCAAATTGCCAGACTCAAGGTTTTATTCTTTAGTCATTTTTTTTTTTCAATCTTGAACTTGTAATTTACTAATCTGTGGCAGCTGCCAAGAAGGACACAGCTGCTTACCAAGAAGGGGAAATGGACTTCCGAGGAGGTGAGAGCAGGAGAACACCTCTGGACAGCCAGGAGGAAGAAATGGAAACTCACAACCTAGAGAGAGGGTAGAGCCCGAGGGGCCAGCCCTGTTGTCTCAGAAACTGTTGTTGTTTAGTCTCTAGGTCATGTCTGACTCTTCTGTGACCCCATAGACTGTAGCCCGCCAGGCCCCCCTGTCCATGGAATTTCCCAGGCAAGAATACTGCTGTGGGTTGCTATTTCCTTCTCCAGGGGATCTTCCCAATCCAGGGATTGAACTCTCATCTCCTGTATTGGCAGGTAGATTCTATATCACTGAGCCACCTGGGAAGCTGGCTACCTTCATCTGAGACTGGCCTAAATTTGCCAATATGGGATTGGTCATATCAGATCCCTTTGCAGAACCTTCAGAAAATTCCTGGGTTTTGCACAAGTGAATGAGAGCAGATTTTAATGACAGCAAACAAGCATCACTAGAAAAATACCAGGCAGAAGGAAAGGATTTTAAGAACTTGTATGTTTTCCATGAGGCCAGTTTAACTAGCCCCTGCTAATGGTCTGTCTTTGTCAACTTTCAAATCTGCCTCCTTTTACGGTAACTCTAGACCAAGATGGGTGGAATTAGGTTTTACTGCAGAGATTCTTGGACTTCACAGTTCATCAGACTCGAGCTGGGTAAGAGTGTGTAAGGAAGCAAGAGAACAGATTGGTGATTGCAGATTACTAGAACTGTAGGTGCCCGAATTCCGGCCCCAAAGGCTCTCATATTCTGAGTTGGCTTGGGGCCTGAAGATATGCATTTTAACAAGGATGACAAGGTTCTGATGCTAGAGGCCTTGCATCACTTTCATCACAGCTAGTTGTTCCACTTGCCTCCGTAATCCTATCTCTACAGTGGGCTCCCCTCTGCAGTTCCTCAATCATGTGGTTTTCCCCATAAAATGCAGTGAGGGCCTCTGAGCAGATTCACTTGGGAGGAAGAGCACTGTTCCCAAGGAGATGGCATCTATCAGGTAGAGTGTAGACAAGACCATGAAAAAGTAACCATCTTTGCCAGGCTGTAAATCTCAGCCTCCTGGATTTTGTTTTGTTTGTTTTTTTACAAATGATGACGACAGTTTGTTGATTATCTCTGGACAGATATCTGAGAGACATGGCCCAGGCAGAGCTGGGTGCTTTGCACAAAGGCTGGAACTAAAAGCAGAGGCTCCCTAACAGGAAGGGGACAGTGCCCCCCCCCCCGCCCCCCCAGGGTTAGGAGAACATTCCTAAGTGTCATTTGCAGCCCTCTGACTTGCCAGAGCCTATAAGTCAGCTTTCTGCAAGTGGTCAGAAAGGAGAGAGGGTGATGCTAAATTTCTTGTCTGCCCCAAGACTCATAGAAGGAAAATGTGTATTCCTTTGATACATGCTGAGAGGAAGAGACCCAGGCAGCTTCTGAGAGTCAAACTGGCTGTCTCATGAGAGTTCAAAGCGAAGATGGAGAGTCTCAAACCACTAGAATAGCAAGGATTTATCGGAGATCTCATTGTGCTGTTGGCCATTCCCCTGCAGTCAACCCTCCATGGAATAATGGCTGTTTGGGAGGCAGGATGTGTTTTTGAGCCACCATTCAGGAGACAATCACTCCTTAGCCTTTTAGCTTGGATGTTTCCTTGTGAGGGTCCCCCCAGATCCGTTCAGAACTTAATTACGGTTGTAAATTCTGTGCAGGGAGCAAAACCATGTTGACGTGTATGTTGCCCAGTATCTTCTCTGCTACATTTGTCCACACGTGGAGCAGCGTAGCCACTCTGAGTACTGATGGGCATTGATTTTGTAATACATGAGCAATTTCGTTTGTTCTGCTCTCCTGCGCCTCTTTCCTTTTGTGGGGAGAATGGAAAGGTTTCTTGAGCCCCAAACACTAGAGGACCCCTGCTCATACCAATAGACTACAGATGAGAAATCATATTTGCAACTTCATTTCTGGATTGGACAAAGCAACCTCCGTATATTTCAAATGAAAGAAGATGTTTGTCAGCCTCTCTAAGAAAATGTGCTTTTTATCCTGAGCCTCTGTGGGGACATTTTTATGATGGACACTGCTAAAGGGCACCCAAATAAGTTTCTAAGTGAGAACTGCCAGGTAGATGAGGCATCTTGCAGGGTTTGGTGGCTGACAGACCTGGAGAGGCTGGCTGCTGTCAGCTTGGAGAAGTATAACTGGGGATGATATTATACTCTAACTGCATTCTCAGTGTGATTTATTTCTATGTTTATATAAATACATAAATGTATATTGTATTGTATCCCAGCTCCATATATGGAAGGTCTCAGAAAAGATTAACTT